GATGTCGATAATCATGACGAGCGTGGCCGAGCGATTTGTACCCGCTTATTTTTCTTTCGGTCACACGCCGAACGCCGGTAGCCGTCGTGCCCCGACGCGACTCCAGTTTCGATCGACGTCGAGCACGGTGTCTCGAGCGATTCCTCCGTTCCTCGCGACGATGCTCTTCGAGGCGGTGCGAACGACAGATTTAGAGATAGCGAGATTCTTCGCGCTTATACGCTCTATCACGCGAAAAGAAAAACAGTTTGATCGAATCTAATCTCTGAAATGGAGGAACCGAACACGTCTTCGTAGGAGGAAAACAGAATATTTATGGTTCTTGTCGGTCAAACTCGATTCTTACAACTAGAAATTCTGTTTCCTTCGACCAAACTTTTTCTTCCACGCAGCGTTACAAGTCATTTTCACCACAATATTTTGCCCGTGTACGTTTAAATCCATCTGCGTTCGTTATTTCGCACACACAGATTCCTTTGAAATTGAAACTCGGATCCTCTTAGGGTGAAAAAAAAAAAGAATGAATGGACCGTATCGTCGAGCGTCTAAATCATAAATAAGAATCTCTTTGGAGTACATATCCCGTGTATAAGCTTCACTTCCGTGAGAGTAACATTTTTTTATTCAAATATAACGGACTCTTCGTGCCGACATCTCGTATATCCAGGCAGGATCCGGCGCGCGCTTCCGCACACACGACACGTGGCGGGATCCGCTCACCTGCCGAACCCGGGCACGGCGGATTCGAGAGAGAGAGAGAGAGAGAAAGAGAGAGAAAGAGAAAGAGAGACGTCACTGCGTAGCGTAATGATCTGGTAATCGGTCACGTGGATTCGCGCCGGACCGGGCGGCCGCAAATCTCCGCTACGTGACGAATTCCGCGACGAGTGGGTTTTGCCCGCGTTGCATCGCGCCGGACGTTCAACGCTAAGCTCGTCGCATTTAGACGGCGTTCGCGCGCTTCAGCAATCGGCGCAGTTTGTTTGCCGTCGTGGTGAATACGGTGCGTATCCACGCGCGAGGACGAGCAAATCGAACGCGATCGGCGCCGCGTAATAGCTCATTAGCGTACGAGGAAGTAAGGCCACGCGCGCACCGTTTATAGCGAGACTGTTTTTCCATCTTCGCAGTAGCGACACGCGATAGAGAGGATATTCTGAGGAACTCTACGCGGGAAAAACGTTTGGTTGAATTTATCAGACAGTGAACACACGAACCAAACGCGTTTTGCTCGAAGGAAACAGAATTTCTGGTTCTTATAATCCAAATTTAGCTCTTACGATCAGAAATTCTGTTTCCTTCAACTAAAACGCGTTTGGTTTGTTCAAAGTCTGATAAGTTCGACCAAACTCTATTTTCCGTGTAAGACTTTAAGAAAACTCGAAAGAAACTGATCGAATCCCGACAAAAAAGAAAGTTTATCCTACGAAGATTTGGAAAATCTCGAGTCGATCGTCGCGGAAATGCGTCAGAATTTTTCCGTTCTGTTGTTTCGAGTGTTCGAGAATAATCGTTCGAACTCGTGAAGAGTTTCATTTTCATTTTTCGTGCTTATTGTTCTTAATTCTCACATCGATGTTTGTTTCAAGTTAAACGAACGTTCATGACAACTAACGGCGAATAAAAGCGAGAGGAAAATTTACTCCTGCGCTGGTGGAGCACGTTGCTTCCATTTATTTTCCGCTTTTCACAAGCTGCCTCTTTTAATGTTTTTTTTTTTAATCGTACTTTATGGAAAACTGAGCGTGTTTTTATCCTTCACGCTGCGAGATTCGAAGCTGTGCGATCAGCGTAGTTCGCTTTGCATGTCGTGCGTGCACAAGGATGCACGTATCAACTGCACGCCTTCACCGCCGCTCAATGTTAATTGCGCGCAGTAATCATTTTAACATACATTCCAATTATGTGAATGCTATTTAGATTGCATTTGCACCATAAAAACCTCTCCGGCGAACTGTCTTTCTGACGACTTATTCAACTCGGAACCCCCCTCGCGCGATGTTAATCAGTTCCTCGCGTGAAATACGAGGGTCACATAAAACAACGGGATGACTATAATGAAAAAAAAAAAAAATAGGGAGAATTTCCACGGTGATTTTTCAGCGAAGGAATACACGGCTGAAATTTTACTCTTCTTTGTGATCTCGATACAATTTATCGACGATTGCGAGTCGACTTTCATCGCGGTCGCCGATAAAATTCGCATCTGCTACCGCGCGCGGCTGCACATTTTTGTTAACATATATTTTTAGATATTGCGCCTTATCGCGCCGCACGTGCCTAGGACTATAATTATGTGTATCCTTCTCATAATATCGTCTTGCACGAGTTTCGTTATGGTTCCGCGAGATTATCGTTATCGTTGTTTCGATGACTGTACCCAAGTATCGCCCCGTCCAAGGCCGCGCGAAAAGTTTTTTTATACAAGATACGCGTGTCAATCTTTATGTGCAAAGTACGATGCAGGAAACGAACGGTTCGCGAGCTCGTTTAAAAATATAGCTTGGAAAAGAACCGATATTGAGAAAAGCAAGGATGCCGTCAATCGTATCCGTGTTGTTTTTATTATCGAACGGTTTTCGACGTTGAAAAACTCCTCACGATTTAAGAACGCCAAATAGAGCGATTTCCTTCGCATAAATAAATAAATTACAGTCGATTTTACAAGCAACGGTTGTATGTACGATTCTGTCTTGAGGATATTTAAAATCAAATTCGATGTCCGCGTCCACCCCTGGCGCATTTCGATGCTGTCTAATCCCCCGGCAAAAATGTCATCTCTGCGCGGCTCTTCGTATATCTGATAAAATAATTTAAATTAAGCCCCGCCAAAAAAGGGGGTGCTTCCATCGGGAGGGTGAGCCATTGGAAATTCTCGTCCGGCCGCGTGTCTCCGGGGGAGAGCAACAAGTGAGCAAACACATCCACGCAACGGATCCTTCAGTCCGCGCGAATCGCCGTTACGATCGAACTAATCGGGCAGCAACGCGCCCCAAAGCTGCCAGCGGAATGGTAGGAATGTCGTGACACGCGTACGACCGGCCGCTAAAAGACGAAGCCGGGGAATCAATGGCGCGTGACTGCGTCGGGCTCGACGAAAGTAAGGCCACGCCGAGAAGAGGCGAGAATATAATGGCCGAATGAAAGAAAAGGGAGGAACTCCCCTTCGTGCTCTCGCATCCCCCGGCGGTGCCGGAGCTATTTTCGATGAATCGACTTTTTGCCCGGCGATGGGAGTACTGGGGCACGGATGTTCCGTTAAAATATTATACAAGTTGCCGTGTTTTTATATAGGCGCGAAATTATCGGGAGAATAAAAAAAAAATATCGTTAATAAATCAATAACAGGTGAAATAGAGAAAAATAAATTAAAATAAATTTAGGTATTGAAAGGGTTCGGGGGAACGCTCGAAATTTTATCGAGAAAATAAAATATAAAAAATATAAATAATAAATGTGAAATTGTATGAAAAGAAAATTGATTGTACGAGTGATTCGAATTGTCCACGTTCGATTATAAGTTATAAGACTCGGTCAGTTAATATAGCGGAAAACAATATCGCTACATCAATCGTTATACGAGCTGACGGCCGACATGCTGATGCGGACAAAAACTTGCTGATTCTGCAATAACACTCGTATATAAAGACCAACAATAATACGCGACGGTCGCGGCACGGATGGAAATTACCCGGTGTAAGATTATACCTATGTTGTGTAACGTTTCTCTTGTTAGCGCTTGTGAACGTTTAAGAATCGCTTTTGGTAGATCGTGGTTGCTTCATTTCGATTGAAAATTATAGGCGGCCCATAAATCCACATTTGTTTGTATTTAACGTTGCAAGTAACATCAGAAATAAAAGGAAGATTAAATTAATTCCAGTACACGGAGGTAAATCATTTGCTGACAGCAAATTTTGTACTGTCGCGACAAAATCTGTCAGTTACTGCGTGGGCAGCAAAACGATTTGTCAAGAATATTAATTGGATTATTTTGCTGATAAATTATTTCGCTGTAAGAAGAAATTACAGCAAATTAACGTGAACAAATTTACTCGGCAGAATATCTAACATCCTGGCAACAAGACTGTTCTCTTGTTCTAATTAAATTCGAGTAATTTGCTAATTTAGCGACGCTAATTAAATTTTATTGCTGTCGCAACGAATATGGAGAAACAACGAATGGTCTCGCTGTGACAGCAACGTTATCTTTGCTCCGTAACATCTGAATTAATTTTCGGCCGTGCATTTCGTTGACTTTACGATGGCGTTTAGAAGAATATAAAGACTGCCGAACTCAATTTCGCGCGAATCCCAATGGACCTAACGCGTCGACGAGCGTCTCGTTCGCAGAAAGCTGTCCCGGAAACTCGAGGAACAACTGTCTCGGCGGTCGGTATATTTCCTTGTGCGCGGTACACTAGATCGCTTTTACGAGAGAATACTTCGCACTTTTATGCCGGAGCTCGTCGATAATCGGGCTATCTCGATTCAAAGCCGGGCTCCTATGTGTCCCCCTCCCCTCCCTTTTTCTCTGCCTTCTTTTTCCCCTCTGTCGCGAAACAAGCGCGTTCTGCGAATCGCTGGCGCCACGTCAGAGTATGACCGTGCCCCGGCTGATGAATTGCGATGTCGCGAGCGCTAATTGAAGGCGCGTGATTAAGGCGACGCGCGGAGTTCGTACGCTTCAGAATCTGCGGCCGCGATTAGACGAAAAGTTTCGCGCACAATAATCGAGGCTCGTATTAAGCGCCTGACGGAAATCGCGACGCTCACGAAAAGTCGCCGCCGGTCGATAACCGCTCGCGCGCGTAAAGGAAAATATTTATGTCCCGCGCGTTTATTTGCAGAACCTACACCAATGCGACGAACGGTCTAAAAGGGCAATCGCACGCGTTGAGCGAATATCACAAGTAAATAATAGCGAAACGCATGACGAGCACGCGTGAGAAGAATGAGAAGAAGAAGAGTAACGGTTTCTTTTTTTTTTCTTTTTCTACCTTCGCCTCTTCGGCTGTTGGGCCTCCGTGTGGGTCTGCTGGATGTGATGGGGCGATAACTCCGAGTAAGACAGAAGTTGACTTCCGGTAGCGGGGCAGACGGGCGGGGGTGGCGGTGGCGGCGGCAGGCCCAACTGGTAGGCGCCCACCGTGGCGGCGGGGTAATGCGAGGGGCCCGGTTCCGGATCGGTCCCGTACCCCGCGCTACCCGGGCCTCCGCCGCCGTACATGTTGTTGTTGCCAAGATACTCTATTTTGACGGTGTTCCCGATCGTCCGCAATCGAGCAAATCAGCCTTGCAGACCCGAGTCTTCGACCGCGCGCAATGAAGAGCTTCTGCTCGCTGAGAATCGGACGTGAGACCGCGAGCAGCAGTCCCCGCGGTCGACGTTGTCGGGCGGAGTCACCCTCGAGATCGCATGCCGATGATACACCGCCTTGTCGCGCCTCTCGGCTCGCCCTTGTATCGTTATCGAGTCGCCTCTCAAATTACAGGCGAGTTAACTCGTCGTCCTGCTCCGAGATTAATCCGCCGATCCGCGTTCTTGTGCTTCTTCACGGAAACCGCTTGTAAGCGGGGCTCTCGCGTTACCGGAGTTTTAATCGGCGGAGCTCCTTTTTACTCGTCGTCCGGAGAGCTTTGCCCGAGCCGTGCACTTTCGCGTCCTCTCTCAGTGGTACCCCGGCACGCTCACTTTCGATTCGTAACATCGACGAGTCGGTGTCCTTAATCGTTGCTAGCGTTTCAACGTGTCTCGTTATCTTCCCCCTTCGTGAGAAGCACTTCGGAGGGAAGAAGCGTATAAGTCGAGACCGTAACGATCACCGGCCGACAGCGGTCTGGTATCTGTCGTCGACGAGAGATCTGTTATGGTTTGGGCGCGAGAGAACGGCCGATGTCTCGCGTCTGTGTACAAACATTTGTCGTCCGGATAATTCCTGATCCCTTACGATCAGAGATCGAGCGAGCGATCCTGATGCGAAACTCTCGCCATCTCGCCGTTCGCCGAGAAGCGGACGAGGAGTAGTTCGATAGGCGCACGCGGGTTCCCTTCGGGATCCCTCACGCGGAAACTCGCTCGACTCTACCGCGTTCGCCGAATTATCTCGTCATCCCGTTTACCTGGAACGAGATGTAGATCCGCCATCGATCTACCGACAGACGACGCTGTTTTCCACTTGGCGCGCGCGTCTCCCTCGTCGGGGAGATGTTGTTGTTCGGGGATACTTCGGGGCGTTTCGAAGGCCTTTGTACGCGGGATCTGAATTCCGCTCACGTTCGTTCGCTCGTGTACTTCACCGTGATCTTCGAAGCGCGCGCGCCCTCGCGCGCTGGTGCGTACTCCCAGCGACTCGTCCCGCCCGCGACGTTTATTCGCTTATTTATTTATATCCCTCCCGGCGGTGCATCCGAAAGACGGATCGAGGAATCCGTTTAACCGCTCATCGCACTCGATTATTCGGCGCGCGCGCGCGTCCACTACGAAATTTCTACGACGAACCGTCCCCCGAGAAAAGTAGCGCGCAGATAAACGGAAAACAGACGCTTTATCTGGTATCGCTTTATGTATTTCCCGGAATCGTCTTTATCTGCCGGTCGACTACACTTCCCCGATATGGCCCTCTTCTTCTCGATGCAAAGTCCAATTTCTACTTTTCCGTCACTCTTATCTGCCTCGCTCGTACCGCGGGAGATTCGTCTCGGCAGCGGGATCAATTCGGACGGAGAAAATTCCGCCGTTCTAACGAGCGCTCATCTCTCTCTCTCTCTCTCTCTCTCTCTCGCGGATTTCGCAGATAAAATCTTTCTCTCTGACGGTGGACGGCCTCGTGGTGCCGCTAGTCCACCACGATGGCACGATTAATCGACCAAGAAGGAAAGCACAGAGAGGCTAAACGACGTTCGGTTACGGAAGCGCGGCCGCGGTTCGAGCGATTTCGATTTTGGAAAGCGCGGCCGCCACTTTCTCGCGGGCTCTATTCTACTCGCTTTCCAACCGGAGCGTCCGATCCATGCTCTCTGTTTTACCAGCTATTGTCTCGGCCGGTCGACCGTGGTGGCTCGCCCTCGTGGGAGTCTTCGGCTCCCCTCGCTCGCGAGGCGGTCACGAGATCCTCGCCGGTCCGTCGTAGCACTCGCGCCGAATCTTGCACGCTCCCTTCGTCGCACTGTCACGCATAGTCGGCGGGAAAATCGCGCCGGTCCTGCCGTCAGTCTTCGCCGGTCTCCTCGGGGCGACGGCCATCGCTCGGGGTAAGCGATCACTCAGCCGGAGGTAACTCTCGGCTCAGAGTCGTCCTCGGTCTCGCACGGCCGAGCTAAACGACGCGAATTAGCCGAGGAGCTCGACCGAAGTCCTCAAGTTCCCTCCCCCGTGGTCCTTCTTCGTGGGTACCGCGCGATGATGATCCCCTACGGCCGATATCAATCTTCCCCGGCGTCCTTCTCCTCCAGTTTCTCTCCTGAAACAATTCTTGTTCGCACTCCCCTCGAGACGTTTCGGGAAGACAGCTGAACTCGGTCGCGCGCGCGTTCGAATTTCGTCCGCGCTGGAGACGGTCACGTGGCGGACGGTGATCGCCGGGACGCCGCGCACGCCTCGTGTCGAAAATTCGGGTTGTCGCCGTTACTCGCCGCTCCTCCCGTCGTAAAACGAGCTCGCGGTTAAATCAGTTCGAGCTGAGCTCGCGTAACGAGAAACGCGAGCCGTTCTCCCGCGCGCGGAGCCGCACCGCGCGAACTTCCCCGCCAACACTCGGTGGTCAGCCGATGGTTATTACGTCCGGTCCTTCCCTCCGTGGATCCTCGCAGGAAGATCGCGCGGTGTTTCCCCCGCTCTCCCCGAATTCAGTCGTCCGGCGGATTTCCCGCGGAAAATCGCCGAGCTCTCATTCGCCACTGAAATCCTCGACGGCCACGTCCGTCTTCGGTGACTCGGAAGACTCTCTTCCTTCGAAGAATCCGACCACTCGGTGACACGCGGATCCTTCGCGTTTACCGCATCGACCACATGTTCGATTCCCGGTACCGAGACGCTCGGCCGCGATCCTCGCGCGAGAAGAGCCGGCGGCGCGTCTAGTCCCGCATCAGAATCCCACCGATTGCGCCGGTCGATCGATTTCTACCTCGAGCGTCATCGATGTGTCTCATTTCGCCGAGGTCGTTCGGAGGAAGGGGGGGGGGGACGCACGCGTTCGTGACGTCCGCGGGGCCGAGACGTCCAATTTCAGGGTCCTCTTCGCGGCGTCGCGGGATAATGACGCGCCGATGACGATCGTCGCGGTTGCCTCTCGATCACGATCGATGGTGTAATCGTCGACGCTGGCGAGGCGTCAACGCAGACCGACGCGGAAGCACGTTCCACGGACGTACGTACGTACGTAGGTACGGATGGACGGACGGACGGACGGATGGGTCGCCGACTAGCCACCACCCACAACTCGCCAGTGACTGATTCCACCATAGCCGCATAATGTGCTGCTGCGGTATACCCCGGTGAGGACTATCACTTCTCCCACCAGAGAGCCCGGGACAGCCACCGTTGCGAAGCACGACTTTTAACCGGGATGCATCGCGCCGCTCGCTCGCGACGGGGGACAAGACCGGAGAGAACCCCTCTCGCGACGCCTTCTCAGGGGGTTCCGTTTCGAGCTTCCTTTTTCCTGTCGCCGCTTTTACGGAATCTCTCTTGGATCGTCTATCGATCGTACCGGGCGGTATTGAAATTTTTCTTGCTCGTCTTGCGCGCTTTTAACGAGTCTTAATTATGGGTACGGAAGTTCGGAAATTCGCCCAGTGGGAGGGGGAAGGCGCGTATGTTAACACGAAACGGTTGACATTTGTGCCAGCCTCGCGTGCCGAAGCTCCCCCCGTGAAACGGCAGGAAAGTGTTTTCGAGAAAGGCTCGAGTGCCGGTAAAAGTACGCGGCGCTTACGATAACGAAATGTTTCTTGAGCGGCGTGTCGCAACGGCTCTCTCGCCGCGACGTGAGGGAATATTATAGCCCGAGCAGCGGGCATTGTCGGGGTTGGCCGAGAATTGCCTACCGTGTTATGTACGTGGCAAAACGCCGGTAACTGATTCCATAGCTGCATCATTTCTTGGAACGGCGTCAATCAAGCGCGACACCGAGTTGACTGCACGTAATTGCGCGACGAAAATTCACCTCGATCGTTAACGTCGAAAGCGGCGCTGATCTTTTGTTATTAAACGTTTAGCGTAATTCTGCCGGGACATCCGGTTTTTCATCTTTCCATATTTCTTAAGACGGTAGACACACCGCGCGAATACTTCCCGAGATATTTCATATTTTATTCTGATATCTTCCGGAATAGAGATATGAAGAATCTCGTATTCGATTCTCGTAATAGCGTTATTTTCATATTCTTATACTTAATATCTCTTACGTGGAATGATAAGACGATTTCATTGATGTTTGATTAATTGTTGCATATATATGCAACAATACCTTTATAAAAAGAATGTAATTTTTTAATTATTTCTTTTTTTCTTTACATCAATCGATTGCACTCGTTATTCTGTGTGTGTATAAAAATTCTCATTTTTCTCTACAATTTGACCGCAGTACCTCGGCGAGTTAAATGTTTGGAAAAAGGCCAAATATTTTGATTAAAATTATTCCGCATAAAATTGAATATATGCGTTTTTATAACTTACCCTATGTGGCCAGCACTACGCTTCTGTGCCATTTTGCTTGGGTCGCTCCCTGAAAAACAAAATTTTGAACAGATATTTTTGTGAAACAAAAAAAAGAAATAATAGCTCCTTCGGATTCGTCTTTTTTTCTTTTGAATTTTCAAAACTTTAATAATATTATCTTATAGAACAGAGATCTGTTTAAATACTTGATTTATAATTATATAGTGAAGATGTATTTAGTTTCGCCCTTGCTATGCAATTATACAAATGTTTAATAAAAACTAATTAAATAATCTTAAAATTTAGAAAAATATAACTATTAACAACTATTAACAATGTCATAAACAACACATCTTTTCTTGTTATTAAATCATCATCAAAAAATTTTGCATTATTCTCTCTAATTATCGAGGTGTTGAATCGTAACTGGTTACATGTGACTCACCCTGTATCTAGGGACTTCAGAATAATTCATATTTATAAGTACAGATTTTAATAGTCTAAACGGTTAGATTATAAATAGGACCCATTAGCATTTCAAAATATTCCAACTGCATAATGATATCAGTACCCTATATAAAACAATGGATATCTACAAAGTATCAAACAGATTGTACTTTATGTCTGCTGTGTATCATTACTAATTAATAATTTCTCATGTTTTTCCAGAAAACAATCATACCAAATGCATTGATATTAACTACAGTTTATACTTCTAATAGATAATTAGGATATTGATGATTGAGACTAGACCACAATTGACTATACCAGTCTGGTCATTGTACTAACAATAATATAACCAATCTTGCTTTTCCTTTTTACCTATGCGAAAGTTTCAGTTGCGACTTAATAAAAAGCAATCTCTTTTCACTCGTAACAGCCTACTGATCACTGTTACGACAAACTCTTACCGTTAACCCACATCAGTATGTAGCTTTGGTAATCGTAATAACTAAATAGTCACTCAATCTGCTATAATCGAGATCCAACGATTGCTAAGGGTTTACTATTGCGAACTGATCGAATGAGATGTGAAGCACAGTTATTTCTTCCTCTCTTTCTCACTCTCGCGTCTTATATGATAAACTGGAGCAATTTATTCGGGCCACCAGTAGTCTGGTGTGGGTTGCGTGTACACACGGGAGTGCGTGGAGGGACTTTACGGAAATATTGCAGTTCGAGGAAACGATCGACGTGTTTCCTCGACGAGACGTACATACGCTGGTGACGTCGTTTCGCGGGAGGATGCGGTCGCGCTGTTCGAGAAATAGGAGTCGACAAGTCAAAACAAGTCACGGCAACAAACCCGCCGTGGATTTACCTGGAATCGAATGGGCGATCGTGGATACGGTGAACATTCAGCCGGGATTTCCTCTTGCCACACGTTGCGACGGAAAACAAACGGGGTGCGCCGGGCGCGGGTGAGTATTGACGCGAACGTACGACGGCTTCCACACTCCGCATCGACATTAAAACTGGGTGTTTACACTTCGCAGTCGCGCCATTTTGGAGTTTCCACTCGGCCTCCGGGCTTTTATTTTCGCATCGGGCCCGCAGGAGCGCCGTAAGTCGCCGTCGCGATCGGAGCCACTCGAGGCGCGATCTGTCGGTGGCGCGCTGCAAACCAACTCCTCGAATTATTTATTTCCATTGAACTCTAAGGTTAAGCCCCGTATCAGGCCGGATATCGGAGGCTCGCGGAGTGAAGAATGAAGTTTGACCAATTGTGACAAAATCGAGTCAAGATCGAAATTAATTAAATAATTAATCGAAATGTAATTCCTTGGGAGTTGAGCAAAATGAATGTTTTACTCTAAAGTCACGAAAAGTGAAACGTTAAATTGTCTCCAAGTTAGGGAATTTGCACTTTCCTTCATACAAGAGGAAAAGATTTTGTTATCAACTACCTGATCATACTCCGTGTTGCTTAATTTAAAGTGCTGTACAATAAAAATAAACTTTAAATAAATGCAATTTCTTTCTGACAGTTATGTTTCCACTTTGTTGTATCTTCAATCTATACCTGGGATAAAATGGTTACACATTCACGATCAATGATTCGTCCCAAACTAAATCTAGTGAAGTAAACGAAAATGATACCTGCCCTGTTTCAACCTGTTCTCGAATACGAAATGCGTTCAGGAATACACGCTGATGGCTTCTGCCTACAGGACGCGCAACACTTGCGGCGTGGTGGAAGTTCGCACGATAGCCAATCAACAAGCTGTTCTTCCGTAAGAACTAGTAACTAGAAGTTTATTGGCTATCGCGCGAATTTCCACTGTTGAATTTTACTCCGATTGGTTAGTTCCTAATACCCTATCATAATTCCAACTGCAACCGAGCGTGCAAGCCGTAGTGTGATACAGTCTTAAAAAATGTTTCGAAATGCTACAAAAGCGTGATGGCAGCACTGTATGGTATGATTTAACCTACAGCACATGTCACGTGTAGTTTTTATATTACCTGCAAGGAAATATTTGTGACATCAACTTATTTCGATAATATAATTGGAATTGTTACTTTTTGATTCCAAAAATACCTTTAATTTAAAAATATATTGAATACCAACGACAAATATTATTAAGTGTCATTATATTGTTAATGTATAATCGTATAACACAGATGCCGGTATTTTTTTTGTATATTTATAGTGTATAATGTATTAATACTGTTTGTTTTTATGCTATACTACTTTTTATGTAATATATCAACTTTACTCAAGGAAGAATATTAAAGGAAAGATGAGTTTGTTTATTATGAATAGGTAAGAGTCACAACAACAATATATTTTTCAAACAATAATAATATATATGATGGTTTCATATACAAATAATTTATTTTTAGCCATTTTTTCATAAAAATTTGTACATATCTTTCCAGATATGAAGGGGAGAACAAGGAGGAAGTTAAAAATGACACTGATCATCTTTTCAATTTGTTAAAGATGATAGAGGAACGTAAAAGACAAAAGTCCGTATTAAATAATAAAACCATATTGGAAGATGTCGATAAAAATAATTTAGAAAAACCTAAGAAAAAGAGGAAAAAGGACAAGAACAATCTGCCTGAGGAAGAGAAAGTTAATGATCTACATACTGAAAACAAAAGCAAGGATAATGAGAAGATCAATGAACAACCTTCGGAAACAGAAGTACCAATAAGACGTAAAAAGAAGAAGAAGAGAGATATTGAAAATGGATGTTATTCCTCGATTGAGAATTCAGTAGCACAAAATCAGAAATTAGGAAAAGAAACTGAAAACTCAGAAGATGAAGAGGGAAGTAACAACGAAAATATTACAAAGAATGAAATATCTTCACAAGACAATTTTATGATATTAGGAGCAAAACCTCAGAAGAAACAACACGCTGTTAAGCGAGTATTACCAGATTGGCTGGCAAATCCTGAAGTTATATCTGCTGATTTAAATAGTGGACCTAATATAGACGAATTACACTCGATCTTGGATCGCAAACTGATAGAAATCTTGAAAACCAATGGAATTGTTAAATTATTCCCAGTCCAATCTAATGTAATAAAGTGGTTGCATACGTGCAACAAGGACAGAAGAATAGGTTGGTGGTTGAGAGATACTTGTGTATCTGCTCCTACAGGCAGCGGTAAGTATTTGTGATGCAACCGATAATGACTTGTGACAGTGTATCTTCTTAATGTTTTTACTTTATACCAAGCAATTTTGTGTTACAGGCAAGACTTTGGCTTACGTATTGCCGATTGTGCAGCAACTGCAAACACGATTGGTGCCGAAAATCCGATGTCTGGTTGTTCTGCCAGTGCGAGAACTTGCAGCGCAAGTTCACAAAGTAATGGTGACCTATACATCTCACACGAACTTGAAAGTAGGATTACTCTCAGGTACTGCTTCGTTTGAACAAGAACAGAGCGGTATAATTAAAAAAAGTACGTATCTACCTTCAACGAATCGTCAGTGAATTAAACAGTGAATATTTATTGATTAATCTGTGCATAAACTTGGCAAATTTATTTTTAAAGCCGACAGGGGGAACTATTTATCTACCGTGGACATTGTAATCGCGACACCTGGACGTTTGATTGATCATATATTAAAGACGCCTGGCTTCTCCTTGGATTTCCTAAGGTTTCTTGTCATCGACGAGGCCGACCGTGCGACAGAATGGCTGCAGTACCTACCCGAGTTTCATTCTCGGGCTCATAGCTTAACGATCGGAAACATGCATTCAAGGTTGTGCACACTTTGTGTGTAAAAAAATTACGTTATTACTTTCCGTATAAACGTACATATATTGATTCATAAATATTTTGAACAGCGAGATCACACCTGCTCAGAAACTGTTATTCAGCGCTACTCTATCGCAAGATCCCGAGAAGCTAAGTCGTTTGGGACTCTTCCAGCCTATACTGTTCACCACGGTCGTAGTGACGGACAAAGACACCGATGTGAATCTGGACAAGATCGCGGGCGAGTTTGTCGGTCGTTACACGAGTCCGGGAGAATTGACGGAACTCGCGGTGGAATGCGCCGCTGAGTACAAGCCAATTGCTTTGTATCAGCTGTTAACGAAGCACGACGACGCGATCTCCAAGACTCTAGTTTTCACGAATTCTGGAGATACCGCGCATAGACTGGCTCTCTTGATTCAGTCACTTCTGTCGGGACGGAATGCCACGGTCGGGGAATTATCAGCTCAGCTCGTACCGAGACAACGCGAAAGTGTTCTTAGTAAATTCGCAACTGGAGAAATACACGTGTGAGTCCCTTAAAATATTCCAAAATATGAAATCATTTTAACTTCATCTTTAAAAAGTTACACTACAAAATACATCATAAGATATCGCATTCTAATTTCACTTTAAAAATGTCCGTTTATAGTAATGTTTAATTGCAATGTAAACTGATTCTTAATTAAAAAGTTCTCCATTAAAGTAACTGTATGTCGTGCAAGTAGAAAAGGAGACATTTTACCTTCGGTAATAATAACTCGTTTAAGGTTCTCATGATATCCCTTGCAGATTGATAAGTTCGGACGCGCTGGCTAGAGGTTTGGACATTCCGGATGTACAACTGGTTGTATCCTACGACGTTCCGAAGCATATCAAGGGCTACATACACAGAGCCGGCAGAACCGGGCGGGCGGGGAAGCCGGGTACCGCGGTATCCCTGCTTACGGCGAATCAAGTCGGGATATTTAAGCAAATGTTAAGCGGCGCGCACAAAGCTGTACCAGACATCGAGCGAATGGAACTAGACGCTACGGTGGACGCGATAAACTATCAGAGTCACGTTGAGAAATTGAAGGAGACTCTTGAGAAAGAGCGAAATCAGAGCTTGGAAAGAACGAAGGCCATTAAGCGAAGACGCGTGATAAATACGGTTAGACCGAGTGAAAATAAAGGATGACGTTTGATGAGCGAAGATAGAAATAAAAAGTGTACATAATAATCTTTGTGTGATACTTGCCGAATCATTAATTACCTCTTCCGAAGACCTCGTGCTATTAACGCGACTGATATTTATTTGACAGGAGGTGCGGGAACATGGCAAATACAGATCGTAGGGTAACATCGATAATAACATTTTATTGTCTGAAGTTAATAGTATCGTACATCATGCTCATTCCCTATCGCAATTCGTTCTATGGGCAGTCGCGATATACATATTTTATTCGAACTGTATATTAATTATATTAATCCCACTGCTTTTATTCCGTCGAAGGCGAGGTATTCACAGTTTTTAATTTACAAAAGATAAACGATATCGTTCATCGGATAACGACGCAGACACAAGTTATTACTATTATTGCTGTGCATAGCCATATTACTCGGAACTGATCGCACGAAACTTTCCTTTATTATATTCGGAATTGGGAGTGTTGAAGGGACGTTGATTACAGATTCTGCCGGTTTGCTTTTGAGGGATTAAGGGATTATCGTTGATGGGAAATTACACGTTTCTTCTTTCAAATGAACTCGATAGCGGACGATTGCCCGATATTCGTGAAAACAGCCACAACGTATAATGAATATTTGTTAACAGCGCGCAGTTACAGATCGGTATTGGATTACAAGTTATAGCAGAGTACCCATTTTTTTAGGTCGTGTTAAATTTAAGAGAGGAAAGTCTAAGTGAGGAATACCACGTGGGAAAAATTATTCTAAAAGAAGCCCCTTTACCTTAATTGCGGTTTAAACTAATTAGTTTTATATATAACGGGAAGCAAAAGAAAAATTCCTCGTAAATATAGATCTGTAAAATAATCGTTGTTAAGATATTCAGGTTTTTTATTTTGTAAGCTGTGTACTTTCTATTTTTTTCCTTTTAAACGATTATACATGCTGAATGATCTGATGACTCGCTTTACGTATGAACTCGCAAAGAACGGTTTCTGTCGCGAATTTGAGAGAAGTTTAAAAAAACAAATTCTTGGACTCAAATTTAACATTATGATTGGTTTTTGTTTCGTGTCTCTACGTCGATTCATTCGCGAGTTGCGAGAAGCCCCTTGAAATTTCGCCGCGCTCGATATTAACGAACGAATGTTGCCGCGCTGTGTATTACGCGCGCGCCAACGTCCACGTGGTCGGAGACGCATGATCACGTGACCGTGCGACCGCGTGGTGAGAAGCGATCAGCTGACATTGCGGGGGGAGCGATCCTGCGTTCCGTCACGTATGTACGTATGTGTGACGCGTACGTGATGGAATGCGGACTTGTGTTGCTCTCACTCGCACGTCACGCTGTCTCACTCGCAAGTGTAGCTGACCTCACTCTGGCATGTCTGGCCGATCGACGCTCGATACAATCGTCGATATCTCCGTTTCTAGAGGTCACAGCGACTTGAAACATAACCCGTTGGAAAGCTTAAACTTTCGCACTTCCGACGAACATGTCATCACTCCTCCTCGGAATAAGGATTAATTGGTAATATTGCGGAAAATGCAGAGTGTCTTCTCTTTCTAACGGATATAAAATATTATTAAAAGAAAGAAGTAATAGACTGAGAATTTTCCACTGATTTTGATATCTCTGTTTCGTGAAATAGCATAGAAAGAAGATAATATGTAAAAATTGCAGATGTGTATGTATCGAACTTTAAGTACGTCATTGACATTCTAAATTACTGAGATATCACTCGTACTATCTGTGTAATCGTATAAGAAACTTAATAATTATACAAGGAGCTTAACTTACAATATAAAAAGCTGAATATCACAGAAACGATTAATTTGAGACCGTATGTTTGTTAAGAACTTTCTTTTGTTCCCGTTCGTTCTATTATCCAAGACTTATAATTCTGAAACACCCTGTATATTTCGTAAATAATCGTTAAATTTTAATTATAAATTTACGTGCATGTCAAGAGTTTTTTTTTTATTTTACTTTTCGCCGTATATAAACGTACAACATGTAAAATTTAAGTTCCGTATAAACGATTGTGCCCAGGACTTCCATTACTTCCTCCTTATCGCATTATTTCTACGTGACATATTCAATTACACGACTTGCGTCAAAGTTCTGGGCATCCTCAAACTTGTAATTCAAGCTTCGGGCGTGTTCAAAGCTGCCGGGATTGTTACTGTAATTCCGTATTGTGTGACCGCAGTCAACAAGTTGAATTAAGTAGTACGGACACTGAAGTAAACACCCATCTAGGTGTTGGTCTTTCGAAAACAAGCTTCCTTGGGACAAGGTCGCATTTCAACATGTTCATTGATTTTTGCTGGCCTGTACATTATTAACAATCACATGCAATTGTGTATTGAATTTCACTCGCGAAAAATCAAAGGCTGTTTACGCTAATACGCTAAAAGGATCGGCGTTCGGTTCTCTTAAGAATTTTTGGACCCCCTCGAGCAAATGTTTACACATATCATACTTTGGATTCGATCGTTTGCACTGTTTTGTATACTTATGTAAGAAAATAGGACTAAAGTTGTAAATATGTGATAATTGCGACTAGCTTTGGTTAACAAACAACCAAGTGATATAAACATTTGAGATAAAATGCAATAAAAGGTTTGATCTTTATTATTCTAATATTGCATTGCAAACGTGGAACTGTATCTTAGCGGAACTGTATTTCGTCAATGTGAAATCTCGGATCCAAAGCATCGAGTACTGATAAAAGCGAAAGTCCCCGCGACCGCGTGTTACTTATTTTTCCATATAAAGATATTTAATGAATTAATATAGAGATATACTTGGTGTTTGCTTCAGATTTCGCGTATTCGCCTTAGGCCCTCGCGACTCCCACAATTTGCCCTTAAATTCAGTACAGATTGGCAACTAGAGTGCCATGATATACATGGAGCAAGGATCAGCAACGTTTTGTCACTTGCTAGTCATATCCAATCTTTAATTACAAGTTTCAATAAAGAATTCGTAAAGCTCCGACGAAAAGAGCAATGCGTAATGTACAAAGCACAAGGGCTGTAAACAAAAACGCATTATATATATTATTTAACATTGTGTAATATTATATAGATAAACCAAATCGCTGAGAGAGAATCTAAGAGAGTTGGGGAGTGTTGAATGAAGCTAAGCAAAAATTCGTATAAACGAAAATGAGATCGAGAGAATAAATTAAGAAATATAAATAGAGATATAAATATATTAAAAAAAATAAAAATATAGCGATTTATTTTATTAAACGAAATATTCTATCCTCGAGAGTTGGAAATTCAAGAGAACGATTTCGCGACTCTCCGTTCGCGTGTGCTTCGCCGAAGCCCAGAAATTAAAGACTAGCGTTATATACATATACGATAATTTTTCGAGAAAGCGGGTGACATATTTACGAATCTGTACAAGTGACGAGACTTAGTTACCGATCTTTCCCCTGTGATTGAACGAAAGCTGCCGATGTCCTCTCGAAAGTTCAGCAGCTCGACAAAAGTATCCGCTCGGACTTTCGTTGTCTGAATTCTAACGAACGAGCAAGATTCACATTTACTTAGACGTAATATGTATATATATATACATACATATATATATATATATATATATATATATAACTGTACGTGGGTACATATCGTGTGCGCACAGGCACGAACTATTCTCCATGTTCATTATGTTACATCGCGAGACCGCCACCTCCTATGTCACATTATACAAAATCTAGTCTCGTTCGTGGATACACACAACTGCGAACGAAATCCTAATCGCTTAAACCATCAAAACCCTCGAACGTCCGCATACATACACACACACACACACACACACACACATACAGCTTCGGTGTTATTTACACTTATGTATTTTTCTTTTCGTTAACGTGTAATACGGAGCGGTACGTATATACATTAAACGTGGTCCTATATGATTCATATGTCTCGTTGCCGTGTATATGTATCATTTATACTTAACGCCGATAATAAATTCGCCGCAATCCCGATAGCGTGTCTTACGGTAAGAGGATATATCCAACGGGGTTCACTGCTTAATGAGACCTTCGTATCTTACGGAAATGTACATTATGTATATATGTATATATATATGTATATATATATATTGCATATACAGGGTGCATAAAAACAATCGCGCGCGCACTTTACCTCGGCCGTACCGTATTGTGTACGAAAATGAGCTAAAGATGGGGGAGGAGGGGAGTGTTGTTTATCCCGAAGCGAATTCTCTTGGCGCTTCGATCAAGATTCGAGGGTCTTTTCGTGCGCGCAATAACATCCTATTCTTGAGTCGATCTTTGCGCGGGTGTTCAGCGTTCAAATTTCAATCATCGTCGGACGCTTCGAAACCTACAGAAAGAGGATGCGCGTTTTCTTTTTACTCTGTACCCTGTATATCATATGGAATGTGCCAAGCAGTCTGTGGTTACGCTTAAAAACTCGCCGGATCATCGCAAGGTGTTCCGTCTCGCTGTTTTCTCGCTGGAAATATCCAAATGCGACAACATGCCGAGCTCACTCGACGGACAATTTATAATTCGCGACAGAATTCCGGACGGAGTTCCATCGGTAATTATTTCTCCGGTGCCGCGACACGAAGGGAGGAGAGGGGGGGAGGGAGACATCCAAAGGTTTATAGATGCGCGGCTTGTGCGTGCTGGCGTGCGCTCGCGTACATCTGCAAAATGTAATTATGATTCTTCGAACTTTCCTCGCGCGCTCCGTCCTGCATGACACTGTCGCGAATTATAGGTCGCCTAAAGTAGAGGGCTCTATGTATCGTGCACGATCGATTCCTCGGAATGTAATACAATGAGATACCGGCCCGAACGAACGAGGGAAAAATATCCTTTGCGATACACCCGATAGCCGTACAATGTGATGACGTTCTTCCCATGTCAATTTATTCGAGCCTCAACAGGTCGCGAGTGTCAGTTGATTTGACGACATAACTTTGGCGACAATGCTTTGTAATTAAGCGCGATACTGCATTAAATTAATATGTGCGCGCGCGTCCTCGTTTTTATTATGTGAAGGAAAAAAATATTCTCGCGGCGGGATTATCCGTAAAAGGAATAACAGGAAAGGAATTAAACTGCCGGCGTTTTCTAGAGAGCTTTTAAGCCGAATAAAATCTTCGATCTGACGGGACCTCACTATACCGTATTTATTGTCGTGCCCTCCGCTCTGGATATACGGACTACAGTATACATCGGCTCATCTAATCGTAAAAGTGCACCGACCGAATTAAGCCGCGCCAATTTGCAATAGTCGAGCGCACATTTAGCCGCGCGTCCTCGTCGTTGGATGCTCAATGGAAAGATAAAAAAATATCGTGGAAGACGAAATGGGGATACCTTGAACGGTCATTGCTTGAGTGGGTATCGTGACTTTGAACTCGAATTTCGAATGAGTCCCACTTTCTTATACGACGAAATATTTTGTACTTTGTCGATTCTCTATATTTTATGTCGGCGAGTGGCCTGCTTTGGTGCATTCTTTTGATTTCTTTTATTTTTTTTCTTTTTATCCTTTTAATGAAACCCGCTCGACTAGGGAAGCTCATCTCGTGAAATCTCGCGATCTTCTTCTCTCTTTTTCCTCTACATATCTATAAGCAGAGTCGTAATTAAGCGCCACACGTGCTCGTCACGCGGCCTATGATAGCCTAGTTATGGCTCTGTTTGTAAATATGAGTATAAAATACGGAGAATCAAAAGGAACGGGAGTGTAACGCAACAAGGGGGTGTAGCTTACTTGACGTCAGAAACGAAGTGCGTGAACGTTCCCAACTTCTTCCATCATGCTCGTACCGAGCAGGATTTTCAATGTTCACGTAGAAAAATTTCGGAAGACACTTTTTGTCATTTATTTGCGCCTGTATAGGGCTATTCTGGAGCAATGGAGAAAACTGAAGACGTTGTTCTTCGACGTAAAGGGAAGAACTTGGATAGTATCGTACAGATCACTCTAGTGTGTTCTCGGAAAATCACTGTATGGCACAGGATTCCGATAATGAAGCGCTCCAATAATAGTCGTGTAGCTACATCTTTTTCCAACGACGTAGAGTAGAAGGAACAACTTATATCCTGAAATACTCGTTAATTACATTAAAAACGATCCGTGTATTTCCTTCACCTCTAAGCGACAAGAACATGAACATCGATTTGCAAGAACTCTTAACGTCGAATCAGCAGGTTCGTGCATCGCGTATGTTTCGCGTTGGCACCTTTTTCACGCGTCTCTAACGCTACAGCAATAATTCATAGCAATGAGCGTAACGAAATAAATTACAACGGGAAAAAAGAGGGATAAAACGAATTCGCCACAAATCACGTTTCTGGAAAAAGAAAAAAAAAACGAACAGCACACGTTGCCCTTCAATCTATCTACTGCTCTGTTCTCTCGGTATGTTTGTTTTTTTTTCTCGTTTTTTTTACCGTGTCCATTAAACAGTTAAATTCAATAGTCACGATGATCCCGATGAACCTCGCGGTGCGCGGATGTCGGGCGCGGAGAAACTCGTCCCGCAGTTCCGACAGATTTGCACCTCGACGTTGTCCCCCTTTTTCCATGTTCCGCCGTGTGTGATGTCGGTCGGGCGGCGCGATGCACGAACTTGTTTGACCTGTATTTTATCTACAGTCCGATTAATCGCCGGTTACGTCTAAACGTCGACCGGAGCGCACTGACACCGTCCGCGCATATTTACAAAGAGAGAGAGAGAGAGAGAGAAAGACTCGTCGAAAGTTCGCCGTCTGTCCTTTTGGTCGCGCGCAGTGACTACGTCCGATCGCACCTAAAATGTACGTCCTTGTTATATCGAATAAGGGGAAGACCTATTTCCTTGTTTTTACGCGTGGGTTCGCGTGACCCCGACTCTGTCCCCATCGCGCGCGCGCTCTCCAGGAGGAAAGCGAGATATGGGAGATGTAGGAGGAAACGCAGGATTCAATTATGCCGCAAGCGGGGGACTCGTAAAATCTGATAGGTATCGCGACGAAAATTCCTCCTCGTTGCTTCGCCGAGCAACGTCCCTCGCTTCCACGGTAATTGTATTACCGACGTAAAATCATTTAACACTTTTCCGCCGTAATTAAAAGTACACCGTCACGGTGTAACGGACGTTTGAAAAATCCTTCGCGCGAGGAGAGCGGATTGTGCGGCGACAAACGACGTGGGAACAGAGTCGCCTTCTTTCCTGTACATCCCGCCTGAATTCAATCCGTCCATTCGTATTTACAATCTTCGCCGGAGGGGACTGACCTACCCGAATAGGATTGTCAGATACGCACGGCGCGCCCCTTTGCGTTACTCTCATGCGCTGATGAAGATCCACGGGGTCCGTTTACTTCCCGAGGCTGATTTATTAATCTCCATTCTGAACTTATAATAATAACTTTGCACGCACACGCGCGCGCGAACGCCCCGAGATATCGCGAGACATGAATTCTCTCAATTCGCGAACGAGAAGCGCGCGCTAAATATATCGCGCCGACGTGACTCCGCCGTCCCGTTGTTTTTCTTCTCTCGATTGGAAAAATAGATAAGTGCGCACGCGCGAAACATCGGAGCCGTGCGCATACAGAGCTGTTTGCAATTAAATCGCGACGTTTGCGATAAAAACGGGAATAATTGGGGCGCTTCGTGATCTGCGATCAGTGTTTTTGCGAGTTGCGATCTTTCACGGCAAGCGGATCGGATTCCCGAAGCGAAAGTTGCGGGGCGAATTGTTAATGTTTACCTGAAAATCGTGTTTCAAAGATAAAAGCCGACGGGGGATTTATATAGACGATAGAAGGTAATGAAGATAATGACCAGCCAGACGCGATGTCAGAATCCGCCGTCGGAGAACCCAGCTTTTCTCCCCTTAAAGAGATTGGTTTTCTACTCATCAAAGATATTGGATTTCACGATCGATACTTAGGGCGCGTAATCCGAGAAAGCATTTTGACACTGGAAAAAGACGAGTCGTGGCAAATAATGATTAAGGCAAGAGAGCTTGTAATATTCACAGACTCTTTTATAACGATTAGTTCTTTTTTTATACACGTTCTGACGAGCATCGGGGGAGAGGGAAAATTTCGTCCGTAATTAACGGCGGAGGATAATCGCTTGCCACGATGTAACTGTGCGCAGATCGTCGCGGATAAAGTGACTAAAGGCGGACTTTGTTCGGAAAAGAAAGGCACGCTCGTCATCGGCACGAAAGATGTAATCGGGAGAAAAACCGAATTATAGAAGATACAATTACAACCACCGTGATTTTTCGTTAATATCAGCGTTCACGCTCGGAAAAGAGATTTCTCTACCTGCGTTCGCACGCGAAAGATGGATCGTCCGGAACTACCTGCGAAGTTCGGCTCACCGCGTGGATCTTCGTCACCGGCGTAGCTCTCGCGATCACCCTCGAGAGCTCTTCGTTCGTCGAAATGCCGTTTTACAAAGTGGTCGGCAGAAGGAGCAAGAGCAGGATCGCCGTGGTGGAGACCGACGGATGCCTGAAGTTCGCGGCGTTCAGGATGACCCAGGGCGGCGACAAGGAAGGCACAACGAGGGGCCTGTCCGTCCTCTGGCCCTCCTGGAGAGTGCTACCCGACATGATCTGCGTGGTACCGAGGTCATCGTCGCCGCCGATCGAGTCGGTCTCCTCGAGGCCGCCCGCGTGCCCTCGTCTACCGTTGTTGCTGTTGCTCTTCTTCTTACCCTTCGTTATCGGCTTCTTTCGCGGCCTGAGGTCGGTGTTCTTCGTCAGCGTCGTCGGCGTCGTCTTCGCGAACAGGTGCAGTTCTGAGCACAAAGCGTCGAATAGTGCTTTTTGCGATCAAGTACAATTTCACTCGGAAATTAAATTCAACCTCTCTCGCGGATAAGAATGAGCGGGAACGAGCGGGCTAATAAGAACCGTCGCTGGATGTCGGGAGCGAAATTTTCAGTCTCAGCGGGAAGATAAAATTATCCGACGGTGTAACGCACGGACTCCTTTTCCCGACTTTCAACGTACTCGAGCGGTATAGTAACACACTTTCCACGTCGAATCGACTCTCTCGATCCAAATGTAAAATTTCGCGTCCAACAGCCAGCAACGGCTCTTATTAGCCCATCCGTTCTTCCTCGTTTCTTTACTTGTTCGCACGAGATCTTCGTCCCCGTACTCGTTTTTAAAGCGGATATACAGGTGAACGAACGAACAGCGAATGTGCGATACAAATGCGCGTGTTCGCGTCTCGCGTCGGTTTCCGGTGATTTTTCACTCGTACAGAGATGAATTCTCCACTCGGAATCGCCGTGTGAATATTTTCACTCAAAACTATGAAGAGTGAATCCGACTCGCTCTAATCGATTGACATTGAAACGTTCACTCGTATGGAGCCAGAATCCACTTTAAGCTTGAGAGTGAAACGTTCACTCTTGCTTGCTCTCGAGCGGGGGAATTTACTCTGTACTCGAAGCGATAGTGAAAATACTGTCAACTCTTCGCTTGTTTTGAGAGAGAAAGAGAGAGAGAGAGAGAGAGAGAGAGAGAGGGAGAAACTCCGTCCCGAGAAATTTAGAGAGTACTTTCGATTTATAGAAAAGCTCACGCGAGATAACGGCGATATCGGCGAGTTTATCGCGTGCCATTGTTGCCCATTCAGCCAGTTAAAAACAGGCGATTGCGGGGAGAAAAATGTGAGATCCAAGGAAATACGTTTCCACGATAACATCGGAATGTTCCGTACCTTGCAATCGCACCACGCCATCGGCCCTTCCGAGCGCGTTGACGGACGAGCACACGTATCCGCCGAAGTCCCGTTTTTCCAGGGAATTGACAGTGAGATTCATTTGCCAGGAGTAATCGCTCAGCGCGTACTCCGACATCGCGTACTTGTCATTCGGCAGCAGTTTCTCGTCTATGTGGAAAGGAAACGGAAATATCGCGCTATTTTTAATTGCGCGCCGCTTTTTCACTCGCGACTAGTGTTTAACGGTCGGCACCGGGGGATTTCATTCCCGTCGTAAAGAGAGAGAGAGAGAGAGAGAGAGAGAGAGATCGATCGAATATACGTACGTGCAACTTTTTCAGCTAATTCGCGCGGTATAATGAAAGATCGCCCCGTGTAGATACCCACCCGGGTGTTGGAAACACGATCCTGAATCTGATAGTGAAATTTCGAAATCCGTCGTCGGCGAACTTTTCGCGAATAAATATCCGAATTGTGCGCGTTCGATAATTATGTCGCGATACGCGCCCATCAGGAACAATTTGTCTCGTGTCTTTGACGTTGCACCGAGAGTTTTAGTTTAACGCGAAAGAAGACTGACCTCTGATGATGCAAATTGTTTCAATATCGCGCCGGAGGCAAAGATCGAGCGCAAAACATATTTCTCTCTGCAGGCAAGAAAATGAGCGAATCGAATGAAGATGCGAAAAAAAACCTGTTTGCGTCCGCACTCGAGTCAATAACTAGTTCGATGCAGGTACGTTATTTGCGGACAACTTTTTTATGACTTTCCAATCACGGCGAAGCAAACGATCCAGTTTTTGATGCAAACCCGCCAATTATTCCCGTGTGTATTTTTCAATATTTGCGTATTGCGTTCATTGCGAGGAATAAATTGACGCTTTGAAATCATCATCCGCGGGAGACTATCATCGTTAATCAGAAATTTTCGAATGCAATGCGTTTCACAGAAGATTTACGCTTTTTCGGCGCAGCGGTGCGTTTACGAAGCGATTCGCAAATTTTCATATTTGATTAACGCAAACGTCTGTCGCAAAAATATCCTTCCTCCCGACGCAATAAAATCATGGTGAAATGCAAATTTTCAATTTGACACAATTCTTGCAGTCATGATTATCGCGTCACGGTAGACCAACGCTTCGGAGATTGATTGAAGCAATTGTGCGCTGTTAATTAAATCTGTCAGCCCTGTGACATTGTAATATTAATTGCAAGATGTTAGAGCGGCAGGCCGAATCAGGATTTCAACAACAAACTGTCTCCCACTGAACTTTAATTCTCTCTTTGTCTTCAGACTCCTCTAAATCGGAATCGTTATTTTCGTTTCGCGATCTCTCTCGGAAATGAAGATCCGGGAAAAATTTCTCATATATAATTATATATAACTTCTCATATTTTATATAATAATAATAATATAATATTTTATATTATATATAATTTCTCATATAAAATTATGTGTAAAAAATTTCTTATATATAATTATATATATCACCGCTTCACTAATAATTACATATTTTGATATATATGGACGTATTCTATATATATATGACTCCTTATATATAATTATACTTAATTAGATGTGAAAAATTTTTTCCCGGGGAACTCTTTCGAATTTGCAAAAAAATCTGTTTCTAAAATCGCATGTTCTCGGTAACGAGAAGACATCTTTCGTAGGTCGACGCCGATCTGTCAGTTCCTCACCTGGATCTTTGTACCAGGTATTCATGGCGTGCGGGGATGCTTCGACGTAGCATTGCAGCACGACGTCGCTATTAACCGGCGCAGCCACCAATTGATTTGTCACCTTAATAAGAGGTTGAACTGAAACAATCGAGCATCAAATCATCGCAATTAACGATTCAACGGTACGGGCGGCAGTAACGACCGATCGATGCGGGGAGCTGCGCATCGCCCCATCGTCCCTTTCAATCGGCGATTTGCCTCTGGCAGGAGCGCGCCGCATATACAACATCGATATTGCAGCTAAAAAATTTACGCGATTCACGATTCCGTTAAAGCAAAATTTCGCCTTTCGTTCTACTATTTCCGCCGCGGACTACTTTTGCTGTTAAGAATGCGCGGAACGTCGCTGAGATTCGCGATGCATCTGTAAAAGAGCAGAGAGCCAAAGTCGGGTACGAACGAAGGAGGGTACGAACGCGTTGAAGATGTCAAAGAAGACCGCGCGCTCATTCAAGAATTAACCAGATGCGGCACAATTTTGCCGCGCGGTGAGTTAATATTACATTCCGTAAGCAGCGAATTAATGAGATACCCTTTGCGCTCAAATATTTACGTCGCTCCGCGACGACGTGGATAAATCGTCAACCCCGCCGATTAATTTTGCAGCTCGCGGCCGGAAGTTTGCGCGCGCGAGAAAAATACCCCACGCTCGTAGGCCGCACTCGCTCGCTCGCGAACTTCGGAGTCGATCAAGTTATCATTTGCGAACACCGTTTCGGGCACATCAAATCATGTGCAATTAGAAACCCAGATAATTAAATTTTCGGACAAAGTAAATATTATATGTACTGCATTATTATGATTTATTAATTTTCTCGATGAGGTTACTTTATCACTAATTGGGTCATTCACCTTACCAATTTTTCACCATGTCATGTCATTATTCGATACGCGTAGAAATCGATTGCGGAAATCGGAAATAAAAATATTTTCGTGTTATGATGTCGATAATGAATTAAAATATTCAAGATAATGCACTAACTGAAATGAGACGAAACGATTTTTATAGAATTGTCGCAGTTAAACCCGAACATAATGCCGGGCACGGTGGTTTCCAGCGGGAAACTTTCTGAATGGAAATTCTGCCGTGATGTAGATATCGAAAAATGTTTCAAAGTTCATCTCAACCTCATTTCCCATTTAAACCCTGTCGGCATATCCTTAACCGCAGCGACCTATAGGAGCTGGACGATAGTTTTATACCGATATTAAAGGAGTATTAATAATCGACATGGTTATCGTTCTCCTAATTAAAGTAGATTATATCGTGTTACGAAAATATGATCTAGATAAAAAAAAATATTTTCTCCCCCGAATTAATGACTGTGCGCATATTATTTACACACATGATATAATATATACGCGTTATGTTGAAGAAATATTACACCTCTCGCCGTTCGATTTTCCGGGATTTATATTACGTATAAATTGAAAATATCACTGTGCTATTGTTACGTGTATTCGGGGGAATATTTGTGTAATTTTTTAATTAATACACATATCATTTTGGAAGTCACGCGATTCTTGAAATTATCTCGTACGGATATCGGGGGAAATTGTGCGAGAAGTTTATCGAAAAAAAGCGAATTTCGGTATACATCGCCGAGTTAGTATTATAATTATTATGCGCCCAAATTAATTAATTAAACGATTAATTAACGCGCTCATGCTTATCCATCCATCCTGTCACACGTGAACTTGCGAAAAGCGGTAACGCGCGGGTAATTATGCCGGTAACGCACAAGAGGAGCGGATCTAGAGAATCCTTCAGCAACGATGAGAGATCCGCGGAGAATCGGAACAAATAAAATTTCCAAACGAATGCGTTCTCTCGCCGCAGTAACGCCGTTTACATTTTAATGTGGGAGGGAGAAAAAAGAGAGAGAAAGAGAGAGAGAGAGAGAGAGAGGGAGGGAGGGAGGGAGAGGGGGAGAAAATAAGTTTGTCTCTCGGAAAATAATATTTTATATTTTCCGCGGCGAGAAAGATTTTCCCGTCGCATCGATGAAACGTCATTTCCTCCCTTCGGAGGTGTGCGAGCTTTATCCGCGACTTTTATCCTTCGGTGGTGAGCCGCGATCGAGTTGTCATTCTCATCAAATACGTCAAAAGTTTTCCCCGTAGTCTTCGCGGTCATCCCTCGAAATTCGCCGATGACGGCGTCTGCAACCGCCGTTCGCCAATTTCACGAGCGCCGTCGCGGTCGTGGCGGCCGAGGTGCTGTTCAACGCTCTGCCTGCTAATGTATGCAACGCGAGACGGCGGGACGACGGCTAATTAACGGCCGCGGTGCGATACCTACAGTGAACATCGACGGAATAACGCTTGCTGACCGTCGGCGGCACATTGTTGCTGGCTATGCAGAGATACGTGCCCATCTCTTGTCGAAGCACCCCCATTAGTTCCAGCGTCTCGCCGAGGAAATTCTTCATAGCTGTAACACGGAAGAAAGGCGTGACATGTGAGACGCGCACCCAGACCGGTTTGTCGGCGGCTTATTGCAACGATATGCGTTGATGCGCCCATGGCTCTTGATTAGTCGCCATGACGGTCTTTGTTTAATCACGTCAGAAGAGAGAAGTAACAAAAATGCTTGTGTACGTATATAACGATGTGCAAAACGGAAAAAGTCCTCTACCAATTCGCAAATAACATGCAAAATTTCGTGTTATTAATGATTGAATATGGCCACAGTTTCCGGTTTAAGATTGCAGAAAATCGGCTCGTTAGGTTCTTTCTTTAGGCGACGCCGATAATTTCTCGCGCTGCACAAAAATGATAGATGCCGCCTTTAATTAGCCTCGAGATAACGAGATAATGTCGTGTACAACGGTCCTCTTGTGGTATTTAGATTCGCATTAAAAGTGTATTTAACGCGAACGGCCGGTTATACGGAATTGTTAACGCGGTTTTCATATGAAAATACATTTTTAACATAAAAGAGCCCGAGCGGGGATCCAGGTGGGAGAATCGTTTGAGATATTACGTTGAAATTTTTATGGCATACTGCTAGGATCATCAGTCCTGTTAAGAGCCACAGGGAATAGATGAGAATTAATACCGAGTCGCCGCAGAAATTATTTCACGTTCCGCGGGCATCATTTATACGAGATCCTTTAACGGCAGAAACCTGACGTTTGCGGCCGAGCGAAAGGAAATGAAAAACGTTACGTTTATATTATTAAAAAGACACGTGTGCGTTCCAGCGAGTTAAATCCTTAACTTATAAAAGATACCCTTGCGCGCACGTCTCTCGTTCGTCGGAACGCATCTGCGTCGGCGGACACATTGCATTCAGACTTGAGACATCACATCCAAGCTGAATCAACATCGTTTATCGACCTATGCTCTACCTCATTCTTGTGAGTGCGAGATCTCGGCGCTCCGCGAAGAAATCGCGAAGGAAAGCCTCCCTTGTCGAACGGCGCTAATTAATTCGGTAGCTTTAATGTACCCCCCTCCCCTCAAGCCCTTCCGAGCGTTGTCGTGTGTAACGCTTTTCGTTCCTCATCGCCGAAATAGGCACACTTAATGGAAAAAAATATATGAGAAAGTCGTTTTGAAGCTCGCTTAACCGCTTTCCGCGGTCGAATCGTTCGGTCTTATTCCGAGGAATTTTGAGCGTCGTTATTACTCGGCAAGCCCTGTAAAAATTTATAGCGGTCCGCTCGTCGTTTAATCGGCGCCGGGCAGGAGGAGCAAGAGGAAGAGTCACGTCGTGAACGGCGTGTGAGATTCGCGGGACAACGATCTCGATTGCCAACGGATGGCTCGTTTTCCTATGCATTTCATCTCACGCGATATGCGAAGGAATCAAGGAGGAAGCAGGCGACTTTACGACCCGTCGCCGGCGAGAAGAAACGTTCTTTTTCTTTCTCTCTCGCGAGAGAGAGCACATCGACCGTTCGTTATCTTTCGTCTTTCTCGATCTCTTGTCGGAGTCCGGCGGATCTCGAAGTCCTACCCGCGTTTAACGAGTGTCACCCCGGGTGTCCTCCAGGTGTCTATTTTTATGACGCTTCGGAGATCAGCCTGACACGGCGGAGACGGGGGGATCGAACAAGGCGGCGTGGAAACGGCACGAAGCGACGATTACGATCGGAGAATTTCTTCTTTTACGTCCGCCCGTTCTCCACCTCTCTCAGTTGCGCTTCCCGTCCGTGCGCTTTTTTCACGCGGAGCACCTCGGGCTGATCTCTCTCTCTCTCTCTCTCGCGAGAATGACGCTAAGAGGACAGGTCGTCGGGGATTCGGAGATCTTCCGGTAGGTGGTTAGGATCACCCACGCTTGTACACGGAATGTACTTCGCGAGCGGATCTCGGGATTACGGGGGGTGACGTGGGCGGATTGCTTGTAAGAGCGGTCAATAAGTGCACTTTAACCCGCGAAGAACGACACGCCGCTCGTCCTCGAGACGTCGCGCGAGAGAGTCGTTAACCCTTGTAAACTTTAATCCTCCGGGAGGGATTAATCGTGAGTTTATTTCAAATCCCCCCGGGGAGAGGGGACTGGGAAAATTCCTCCAGAAATTCTTTTAATCCGCGCGGCGTTGAATAAATCTCTCCGAACGGTCGTCAAAATTGCAAACGCGACGCTCGCCCGTAGATATTTTCACCGACGACGACGAAAGTTCTCGACGTTCCGTCTCGCGACGGAAACTGCGGAATCGCACCAGCCATGACATATCGATAATAACAACGAGGCACGAAGACGAGAAAGAAAGGGAGGAGAGAGAAAGAGAGAGAGAGAGAGAGAGAGAGAGAGAAGAGGGAGACTCGCGTATGCTACTGTGTATACACGTATATTTATCGATTTATTTATTTTGCGATTTAACTTCAAACGGCGCGCCGTAATTTATGGCTTCGAACGTATATACCGTGTGCATTGTGGGAAGCGGGCTTATATATTTGCCGCGACGCGTAAATTACCATTCGCGCGTTGTAATTAATTACCGGGCGGGTCGGTGTAAGTGCGAGACGATCGATTATTCCGCGCTGATGCGCCCCGACACTTTATCGTTCCACGGCACTTTTCCGGCCGCGTCGGCACGCCGTGACCGTCGTCTTAATTAGAGAATCGACGAAATCGTCGGAAGCCCGCGACTCCGGTGCGCTCGTGTTTGAGAATTCTACCACGCGTCTCTATCATCGACTCCCCTCCGGGAGGTGCAATCTCGCCTGATGGTGCGAAAAGAGGTAGATGTTATCGATCATGTTCAGCCCAAACGATCGCCAATGGCGCAGCTAGAAGCTTCCATCTTGGCGCCCGGGTCTGTGCGCGCGTTTATTTTTTATCAATAATGATGTAATACGTCTATGCACTTTTTCTAGTATATTCGCACGTATCGTAGCGCCATTAAACATTATAATGTTCATTTCGTGCAATATCAAACGAACAATAATCAATCACGGCACGGTCAATTAGCGAAGCGCGCTTCCAAAAGAATGAGCAATGATTGGTAGCTGACAGTTGTGGAGGAAAATCCAATATCCGATTAAAATGTCCGAGATATTTTCACGAATATGATAATTACAGCAAATGCTTATGAAATATTGGAAAAACGACTGACTAATATTGTTGAGCGTTTTACCGAATGGACAAATACCTATGTAGAGTCGGAAAAATTGTTGAAAAGAAAAGACGAGGGATGAACGTCGCAATCGTTGAAATTTGTATTTGGAATCATTTTAATTATCTATCTATGTTTTATTTTAATTTTCTACCACAAATGGCACTACCTCTACCGATAACATTTACATACATGTACTGACATCACATACTAAGACTAGATCGGAGTGATATTTGTGTTATACCGTATATAATTCGCACGGATGTCTGGCACGTTGAATAAATTATCCTATATTCCACAGTTGCGATGAATGGCACTAGTGAAAGAATGACGTATTGATAACAAAGCTAAGATTGGTCAACGATAACAAATCTGTATTTTGGATAACTGGATCGTAATATACACGGATATTATTTATAATTTTTTCTATAATTGGTTTGCTTCGAGAGAGCGAGATTTTACCGTTCAAAGTATATCCAGTATCAATCTAGACGTTAACGCTTTAAATATGCGAATCCAGAAAACCTCAAACTCTAATTTTAAACTTTCTACTTTTAAACTTAAATTCTCTAACTGGCTCTACGTATTTTTAAATAACGACTGAACAGAAGAATAGTTTATTATTCAGGCACGCCTTTAGAAAGTAAGATAGCAAGGTATTCATGTGATTTAATTCTTGTGATTTAATTGCTGATTTGTTGAAGTTGAATCATCGACACATCGGATATTCGAATACACATTAAGAATGCGTTTGTTCGCTTCATATTATATATTCGTAATTTTCGTCATTTCCTCTCGATTCTGTAAATGTATTTCAGTGAACCGAACAAGCGTCTCTTCGCGCCTACAAAAAGCGCCTACGTCAAATAATGTAAATTTTGACTAACGGTTACTTTAACGTGACTCTGATGGAAATTAAACATCGTGTAATAATAATCCCATAATGTTGCATTGATTAGTACGATGAAGAACTTAATTAACGCGTAATCGGAGTTCGTTACGGCTTTGTATGTAGTACCATCAAACACGTAATTAATTAGAGGTCATTGTTTCGACTAGTGGGTGTTATATCAAATTCCGTTTGATTAAATCGTAAATGAAAATTCAAGCGCAAGCCTACTATGTTATTTTTGCATCTGAGTATAACAGCGTGCGTGCTATTATTATCCCGAAACCAATTAGTATCTTGTTGAAATCGAGAATATGAAATTACTGACGAATGATTAAAATGAGACATAATTGGCTATACGATACTCAGGCCGTGGTATAAAATGTTTATAAAAGAAAACACCAAAATTCACGTAGCCCGTTGTTATTTAATCAAATAACAATGTATATACAGAGTGAGTAATAATTATTAGCATCTTGAATATTTTGCGAAAAATAAAAATATTTTATTAATAACTGGATGAAGGAAGGAAGGACATTTTACATTTGCGGGAAATGTTCGACGACCATTATTATCAACGTAATTTCAGTTAGATAAATTCCTCCCCTATTTTCATATTTCGCAGATATTTAAGGTGCTAATGGTTATTGCCTGCACCCTGCATGTTTATATTCGTGGTTTACCGGAATCGCTTTTCCAGTTGTATGATATTTTTTTAATGGGGCCTGCATATTAATGTAAAAAGCGTGTGTTTCAGAATTCGCAGTTTTCACATGAACAGCAGCTAGGGGAAAATCGATTCTAAATTTCCTGCTGCAATTAGCACGCAAGTTAGCGCGCCGCCTTTTGAGAATGTCCTATATATAGCGAATAAATTCGGTTTATATCGCGCTCGCTTTGTATATCCGAGGCGCAATTTGCACTGTTTGACTCTGTAGAATATGTTATTATCCCGGCGCGTACTTGAAACGTATAGTCATCCCTGCCGAATGCGTTCGCGAATGCACGCGATTTCAAAGGAATCTCAGATAACTCGATTTTACGCGCATGCCGGAGCCTGTACGTGTGCGTATATGCATGTGAATAACGCGATTCAAAGCATATTCTAAAATATCAACGGTAAGTGAATGTAAGTTCATCAGAGCATGGCGCGGCGGTTTGCGTGTTACATTTTGAATCTAGGTAAAATCCATTGTGTACACGCTAATATATGCCTATTGAATGCCTCTCGTGGAACTGAACATTAATTGCCATTTACACGTAATGAAATTAGGCAGTGGATGGCTTCAGGCGCAGTTTAATCCTAGAGAGAGAGAAAGAGGGCGCGGAGAGGGAGAGGACTTATCGCCTTCTACTTTATCATCGTTATTTGAAGATTAGCCAGAATGCAATGAGGAAGACGACGATTCATTATTCTCAATTATATCGTGCTAATTGCCCTTTCTCTTTTATAAACACTCACACCCTTTATCTCCGCGATCGCGGGGCGAAGCAAATTCGCGCGCGAATTCACCGAAGACTCACGAGGCATCGGAATTTTCCTGAGCGACGGGAATTTCGTCCTCCCGCCGAATTATCGCCTCGGGAGATCTCTCGCAGCGAGATTCGCGACGAAGCGCTTACATTGTTTCTGCCCGTCCTCGCGCAGAATGATGTTGCGGCCGTCCTCCCGTTTCCAGGTGACGGTCGGTTTCGGCGACCCGGTAGCGACGCATCGCAGCCTTATATTGCCGCCCTCGTGGGTAACCATGCCATCTGAGGACTCGTCGTCCATTATGTCGGGCGGTATCACTACTTCCATGTATCCCATCTGAAGCAAAAAGAAGGAGAAAAACGTAGGGTTCCCGCGAAGCTAGCACGAAACTTCGTAGACCTCGGAGACCGAGATCCTAATTGCGCGCGAGTTCGACTACGTTTTTCTTTTTTACGAAGCAGATACGCATTCGGTTATCGGCGGAGGAAGGTTGGTGCGCGCGGCGAAAAGCGAAGTTGCATTTTGAATTTTCACCGGGACTTTATTTCCGTAGTAGAAATATGCGCATTTTTTATTACGCAGTAACCGCAGCACAAGCGTTATATCTTGCTTGGGATCCCAAGTACATTTTTAATCCTCAGTTACCAAACAGAAGTTAATATAAAGTGTCCGGTGACTGGTCAAAAAAATGCAAATGAAATTTCCACCGGGGTTGTTTCATCACTTGAAACACGTTTCCCGAGCCACGCATTACAAATATCGAATCTTACGAGTGGAACTCACTCTCTCTCTTTTTCTCTTTCTTGCATTTTGTGTTCCGCGATGTCCGTCTGCTACTTTGTTACTTAAATTATCCTTCCCTGTAGAAAAGGACGGGCATGGGAATTAATTAAATTTCACTGTTTCACCGCGAAGGCGAGGATCAAAGAGTTAAAAAGAACTGAAATTCTTTTTTCGGGATAAACAGCCCGTAGAGAGACCGTTGTACGTAAGGTGGTCTGCTAAAGACAAGGCTTGAACTACTCGCCGTAGAAAAAGCACATTGTTTTACGGTCCTGAGCACGTACACGATGAGGGTATCCTCGGAAGGGTGTAATGTGTGGTGGTATAGAATTTACTGGACGTGGGGCGCGCGGTGCACGTGTCCTATTCGATTCAATGAAACCAGCATGCAAGGGAAGATATGGTTTATACGGCGGGACAAAATCAACTGGAAATCCTTCTCCGGACGCGCACCGTTTTGTCACTCGATGTTTTCTTTTTTAATTTGCTTTGTTTAATAGACTACTAAATATGCGCGCTTTGTGTTCATTATAGCTCATTTTTCTGGGTGGATTCGCACCGGACGCGATAACGTTTCAACGTTACAGAGTGAATGTTGCTTATATTTTGCAGTTAATATTGTTAACGATAATAATAATGTTTTTGTTTCAAAAACACAAATTTCATATGTGTTGCACCATATAATATGTATAATGATGGAGAATAAAATTTCCTGTGTGAAAATTGATGAAAACCGCATCTCAACGGCTTTTAATCAAAACAAAAATGTATTATTCGAAAACGTATTATAATGTATTTATGAGTATGAAACAACGTAAAAGTAAACGTACGGTGTTCTCTCATCAAATATATCAGATTAGCTTTGTGTAAAACTAGAGAATTACACAGGATTACGATATGTCGAGTGTGTATAGCGAAAATATGAAAGAATAGAAATATGATATGAAATAAAAGGTAAATATCACCAACGAATTCATGTAATTGAGAAATGACTGATTAATTATATAAATTAAGAATTCATGTTAAGATAAAATCTACGACGTTTAAGAAACCAAGTTAAGAAGGCGTGAAAAGATTTTTACCGGAGGAAAGTATTTCGTTTTCGTTAAATTCAAACATAGTCTAATCAATTCATAAAGATAAATGATAATACCGGAAACAACGACAGATGATTCGCCGATGATCCCCGGAGTAGACGACGCTCATTATCTCGCGAGACCCTCGTGTTCAGCATTAACTTCATTGTCGTCGTCGTCAGGTCGGAAACGTTCGTCGTGACGGCGCGAGACGTCAGTCAGCATAAACCGTGGTAAAGTGTCTCGGCGTGAGTTGCCGTATATAAAAAGGGCACCGTTTTACGGCCCTGGGCACGTACCGGTGACAAGGGCGGTTCACCGGACCGGTGTGCCGGCTTAACGTGTATGTGTGGGTGGAATTTACTGGTGTGGTGCGCGGCGCACATGTCTCGCGGAATTCAATGCGACTGGCAGAGCGGGAAACCTTCCGATGCAATATACGGCCCTGCCGTGTGATAAAGGGCCGAGAGTGCTTGTCGTGGTACAAGGAGCGAGCGAGACGAACTATAGCTCTGGGTACGATAATGCGTTTGTGTGTATGTGTGTGCGGATGGACATGGACGCAGGAGAGGGTGGTAAGGCGAAAAGAAAAGAGAAAAGAAGCGGAGAGAGAGAGAGAGAGAAAGAGATCTGTCGTGACAGGAGGTCAAGATCTTCCGAAGATAACCGAACGTTATGCGCTATTAATTATTACTAAGACTTTTTGCGCAACGGTTTTTAAACCTAGTTTTTTAATCGGAACGCTGATCGTACAGGAAAATTGTGTTCTCACATCTGTACGCTTCCGTAGACCGCGGACACCGGAAGGTGGTAACTGACCAGACGCGCCTCGCGTTCTGCAGAAAATGCACATACCGAGCGAATAGAATCGCGGATACAAGTACAAACGATAAATAATTTCGCGTCGGTCGAGCGGGCGGCGTGGTAACACTCGGCTCGAGATTTAAGACGCGACGGGATATTCGCGCGAGCCGAGATCCTCGTCGCTGGAAAACAGTCGCTCGAAGCCGTACGACGTGCGCACCTGCCGCACCGTCGGCAATAATTTTCCCCTTGCTTTCTCGAACGCGCGGCTCGCGCTTCGCCGAAAATCTGCATAATTAAAGTCGCGCCGTCAAGTCGCGTCGCGGCGACTTCGCCGGCAGACGTGAACTGGAACAGCCTATTAGACATTAAATAATAATTCGTTTTTACGCTATGTAACAAACGGAAGTTCGGATTTTCCGAATCAATCGAAGCGAATCGTTGCGACTGTTTTTCCGATTAGCGATCGGATCAAAATGAAAATCGCAGATTTATTGCAGGTTATTTGGAGCAAAGATTCATATTTAGCTTGAGAGGAAGGTGAGTGATGTTTCAATGTACTGCCGAATTAATCATTAATATAGAGAAACGATCGACCCTTCATCGGAAAGGGGATAATTTCAGCTTTTGTGTGAAATTTACTCGACGAGTGCGGCGAATGAACGGGGATCAAATCAAGTGCACGGCGTAGACGTATTACAATGTACCATCTCGCGCGAATGCCGGTCGGCCTTTGCGGTATCGCACCATTTCCGAAAACTTCGAGCGTCCGTATCTCAGCGAAAAATCGACGTGCAAACGTGAAACAAACCGCCATTCTCCGCGAAATTTCGCGCGACACGTATTCGTGCTCGCCGCATGTGCTCTTATCGCGCGTTAACGTGTGTAATTGACACATACTACGCGCGATATAGTACAACCTCCATATAAAACTTCTTTTGGGGAGAGGAAGGGGGGGCAGATGTACAGACCGTTGTTTAGAGAAGCCGGAATATAGCTGAATAAAAGGAAATGGAGAGTGTCGAAAGTTTTTATCGCGGAAAATACGAAGCTTCTCATGCATTTTTTCGCTGCGAATCTCTCGCGCACAGGTTTTTACGTGATCCGTCACATTTCCGGGATGGTACGCGCGCGATTTTGAGATCCGGATCAATATTGTATAGCCAACACGTTAAGCGCTACACGATAAATTGACTCTCGGTTGATGTATGGTCGCGAATTTCCAGCTGCCAAGAACTGACTGCTGGCCGGTGCCGGGCCCAAGTCATCATCCGACTTTAATCCAATGCTGGGCCAATATTGGCTTTCAGTATCAGGCCGATGTTGAAAGACTGCCACTTAGTAACTCAACGTGCTCAACATGTACGGCCAATCGCACGGTTTCCCTGACTAAAGTTTCCTTTGTCCTATGCGGACATATTTAAATTACTTAAATGTAAAGAATTTGGCGACCCTGTGGCGCGTTAATATTTGTAACTCGCGATGTACTCGCGAGACGAGACTGGTTTCGTCGGAAAGCTCTTCCGGGATTAAAGCCGGTATATTAGAACTCGAGCGTAAAACAAAATCACTTAAGAGCTTTGTATAAGAATGAGCCGCGTTTCCTGATTTTAACAGCGCTCCTCCACTTCAAACAGAATAAAATAGTCTTCGCTTTTGTAGGTCGGCTTTGAACTGCAGCTGCAGCGGTAGGCCGATATTACAGCCGATATTACACCGCGAAATAATGGCCGTGGTAAAGAAAGCCCGCGTTAAAAAGTTATGGCCGGGCTTGTGTATGGAATTTTAAAAATTCCGTGCCGCGCGGACGGATCCGACGAAATTGTGCGAAACCTCGATCTTTTTAATCGAATTACGTCGCGCACCGTGGCCTGTCGATGGAAATCGATAGAGCCGGGCGCGCGTGTAACGGCCGCCGTGCGTGATTCCAGCGGAAACGCCGGCGAAAAATAAAGCGTCGGCTGGAAGGTAAATGGAAATTAATTTAACAGAGATACGTTGTTACTGCGCATCGCAGTTGTTTCACCACTGGCGCCAGATAATACTGTTTGAAGCTGCATTTACGTTATTTACCAAGAAAAAAACGAGAATGAGAGAAAGAAAGAGAGAAAAAGAGGGGGGGGGGGGCGCGTTTTCGCGTCATTGGAAGGAATATATCGTAGTTAAAAAGTATCCGCTAATTTCTCGAGTGTCGTTTAACATCTGCGCTGCGACCCGTCATTATAGTACGTGTCTTTTAATCGCCGGGCGTCGACTGTTTGCGCATATCTGTTTACACTGGGGATTGCATTCCGGGCGCTCACCTGACTACGCATGGGGTCAGTGTTGACTTGGCACATGTACGTGCCAGAATCGTTCTTCTGAACGTTCGCCACGTGCAGTTTCCATGTGTTGTGACCGTTGTGCGTGACTGACAGCCGGGAATTGTGCGCCACCATGTGCGTGTGTATCGCCAGTATCGCTCGGGAATCCGACTTTATCCAGGCTACCTGGAAACACCGGGAGAGCGGACGGTACTTCTCAAGATGAGGGACACGGTTTAATCGCGGTAGGCTGGTCGATAGTTGAAATACAAATCGCTCGTCGAAAATCTGGCCGGACAACGTATTACTTATACCGTCTATGCACATTGACCACGTTAACTCGGCAATTGTACGGATACAGGTTTTCTATTCCTTGTCGGAAACGGAAAATTATATCGAGTCTACGGACAAAGGACGTTGGGTTTTGGTAGTTTTTGTGCTGCTGAATATGATTCTGATTTTTTGCAAAATTTGACATAACTCTGACGTTCGCATCGATATTCGCAGTAGTCGCGGACGAGAATATAGTTAGACTCGGGAAGAAATTTCCTAGTCGGGTGAGTAGAAGGTACATATTTAGATTACGTCGCGTATTAATGGATATAGCTCTCTCGTTTTCGCCCCGGTAAATATACCGACTGTCGCGTTTCTCGGTGCACGATTCTCGATGCAAGTTTTATTATAGTTTTCTTAATATTCGACGCGTATCTGAATCCTCGTTAAATTGAATATCCTCCCGAATACATTGATTAAGAGCGTCTTATCGCGCGCGGACGCGATAGTAAATTTACAATAAAAATTTGTTTTCTTCATTTTCCTCTTCGCATCCGACACAATTGTTTCCTAACGACCGAGAAACAATCTCTCGTCCGTTCGAAGAGCGATACACGGGCAGTTTGACAAGAGGAAATTGTACCTTGTAAGACTGCAGATGATTAACGACGCAGGTGAAGAAGACGTCGCGACCTTGGATCACCGTGTGATTTTCCAAAGGAGCTAAGAACTCGGGTAACACTTCCGGGGTGATTTGGCCTGAAACATCGTAACAATGCGATACGTTCAATTATTCCATGTCGGCTCTCTCTCTCTCTCTCTCTCTCTCCCTTCCTCTTTCTCTTCTGTCCTCTCCTTTCGATCGTGCGAAACAGTCGTCCAAGTGAGTAACCCCTCGCAAATACGAAAACACGAGCTTAATCAAAAATTCTTTTCCGACGGATCAACAGCGGCCGAGCGATTCACCGAACGTAAAGACCATAAAACAGAGAGGATAGACGCTGCAAATTGAAAAAAAAACACACACACACACACACGCACAAACCTCGCAACATCGAGGAGGATAATAAAAGTAATAAAATATTCGCGGAGGGGAAAAAAGTTTATTGCGTTTGCAATCAATTCGCGAGATTCGTAACCTTCGCATCCCTCCTCCTACGCTATCGAGCACAATAATCGACAAACAAAACGCGTTCTGCGTTACGCTGCCGCCTTTTTCAATTCCGCCGGATATTACGAGGCGATCGCATCGCGCGCTCTTCGAAAAATGCGATGCGCGCGGATGTTTCGGAAAAAGGGAAAGAAAGAACGAATGCGCGCCCGGCGGCATCTCTGACGAGTGTCTCGCGGAATGCATCGCCGCGATTCGCCGTCGCAGTGTATGCATGAGCGAGCAGCGCGCCGTCGATTAGATATTCAAGGCGGAGGTCGAGGGGTGGGTAACATCCCCTGTTCTCTCTCTCCGTGGCGGTCTCCGCGCGCCTCTTCCGCCCGGAGGCCGGTCTGGAAGAAGAGCGCGGTGAGAGCGGAGGGCCGCCCATATTCTCGTATCGAATTCTTGTATGCGTTCATGCAAGAAGGGCGATAAATGGAAAAATTCTTGAATCTCGCAGTCGTAATCCGGACGCCCCGGCCTCCGTTTTCATGGGTTGGGTTTTACGACTACCCCTCGTCGGCTCTCTCTCTCTCTCTCTCTCGTCGATCCCTCGCCGTTGTCTGTACCATCCTCGCTCCCTCCACTTCGCTCTCTCGCACCCTCTTTCGCTCTTTCGGCCTCCTCCGTTACTTCTCCACGCTCTCTCGTTCCGCTCTCTTTCTTCCCGACCCTACCCGGCCTTTTATTAACTACTTAAATTTAATTTTCGCTTCGACGGAAGGAATGGTCGGCGTCCTCGGGAAAAACATCGTGAATTCATCGCGAGTAATAATCTAGGGAAAACTTAATGGCTATTGAATATCAGATAATATTTTAATGTAAACTATTATTACTTTCCTCGCTAATATATCACGCTAAAAATCCCCACACAGAGGGGTCCGGTTACTTTCGAACGATGCGCCATTTCCCGTATCGCATCCGCGGCTCATTTTACGATCTCTTAATCAAACCGTTCCTTTCTCTTTACTTTGAACGCGCGGCTTTGTGCTTTGGAATTTCAATTTTGTAACTTGCAATATACAAAAAATTTCGCCAAAGGAGAGCCAAGCCGAAAATGGTCAAAGTGTCCGTGGTACAGCTGCGTGTATTTACTACACGCTCTTTTCTCTCTTGTGCAGTTTCGCAGCTCTCTTCATCCCCCCTCCTTTTCTCTTTCTCTCTCTCACCCTAATTAATGGAGGAATTCTAATTCTGCGTTTAATTTTTCATAAAATGTTGTGAGCGAGCGGGAAAGCTCGTAGAGCGAGCGCACACGTGCGCACAAGACGAGGAGAGAAAGAAAGAAAGAAAGGAAGAAAGAAAGAAAAGTGGAGGAGAGGGAACGCAACATGAGCACGGTGAGCCGCGCTTTTATTGTGTTGGAATTTCATTCCGAGTGTAATCAGTGAGGTGTAATTCTAGCAATTTGTCGCAGGGATATCTAATTAATTAGGTCCTTTCGCGAGCGGGCAGGGCCCCGCTACGAACGCGCGCGCACGGCCTGCCATCTCCTCGTTAATTACGGCGCGCCCGCGCAGGATGGAATTTTTCATCGAAATTATCACGCAGCATCCGCCCAGGAAATTAAGATCGCCGTGATGTTCGCGGCTGTACCGCGCCGGAACCAATTTTGTTTTTCTTCTCGTTTTGCATCGCTCCGTTTACGTCAACGTCACGACGGTAAGAGCGTTAAGTATAAGGCGTCATCCCGAAAACGCAGCCGATTCGATATCAGAGGAAAAGCACCGAAACCGACACAGGTACGGTAAACCGACATACCCATGTTCCTCGGCTGTAAAGTACTGGACTCTGTCGGACAGAACACGAATTTCGTTCGTTAAAGATAACATGTAATAATATATAATAAATGCGCGAAATAATGCCATTTTGGTGCTTTTTCATGTTATTTTTTTGATAATTTATAGGTATCATAAGTACGTCGGTTTTGGGGCTTGGTTTTCAGGACAAAAAACGTCAATCCTCAAACATCTTAAAAAATAATTATTTGTGATGAAACATGCAATAATTTTCGCAAGACTACCATATATTCTGGTAGAGAAGCGTTAGCGGTTTGCATCCATGCGTGTAAATTCAAATTCGACACCTTCAACAGGGCTTTAGAGCTCAAAAACGAAATGGTACGTCGTTTTTGGTGCTTTCCCTCTACGTATCGCGCGACGTACGTCGACGGTTCACCGGAACAATCTTCGCGTAGCCGAGATATCGGAATACTTTCACGCGCGTGAGACATAACATTTAAAGCCGGCGGGATCGTCGGGCGTTTTCGCGGCGTAATAAACGTTCAGGATAAGCACGCTGATGAAAAGGGAAAGAAAAGGGAAGAAAGGAACGGTTACGCGCTCGGAATCGGAGGTGACCTTTCGCGAGGCGGCGTTAAAGGCGATTATAAAAGTCACCGACGCTACGTCGTCCCGCCCTCTAATTTAAGGGACGGAGGGATACTCGAGAGCCGTTGGACTCCGACGATAGACTCGGGATGAGCGGTATCCGGTGATACCCACTTTATCCCGGGGAAACGACGGTAAGCCACCCGCACAATGGCACCGTCGTCCGCCGATTCAAAGAGTTTGGATTTCGCTGCTCTCTTTCTCGCCCAGGAGAAATCCTATATCGTTGAAATCGCGAATCTAAAATGCGCTCCCTCCGGCGGACACGGCGGTCTCGTTCTCGCGAGATAGCGAGAGAACGTTCCCTAGGCCGGAATGATCGCTGCTCGTCGTGAGCTGCTCGCGGCACTGAGCACCCTCTCTTCCTATCGCTCTGTTACACACGTATCGCAAAGGTTTGCCTTGTAATCTCCGTGCGCGCGTGCGTGCGTGAGTTTACTCAACGTTTAAATCCCGATATACGAGCGAAGCGAACGCAGCGATAGCGTTTGCACGAGTTTAACCCTTCGTTGGCACACTTATTCCTTGCTGTTTCATTTTGACGCATCGGCTCTGCGATGCACGGTACGACACGTCTTCACTGAAATATCTATAAATGCGCTCATTCAGATATTGCATAAGGCTATCGGAACTACAAATTCCACTTCTGAAATCTGGTTTCAATATCATTCCTCGTTTAATATGTTTTCGCGTTTGGCGGCTTTTTCTTACGCTCGTGAGATTTGGCTCTTTGCCTGCTTTTAGGCAATTTATGAAGTATAAGAGAAGACGGTGTATTGATTCTACACAGGAGGAAGTAAAAGTACCTTTAAGAGAGGAATTTTATGTTTATACGTGCGACAATTCAAGATTTAACAGTCGTAGGATTTGAATTTTTAGCTTGGGTTAATTTCACCTACGAGTGTCAAACTAGAGTTACAATCTATTTTCGGGAAATGTCGAAACGACGCGGCTACGTAAACGGTTAATCAAATCAGCGGCGAGCGATACAGTGATTTGCAATTCGCGAAAAATATGAGTTAGGTCGAGGAAGAAGCACTTTCGGAGATCGCGTTCTCCATGTGAAATTTAGCGGATGAGGGCGGCCGGGACAGCTGCAAGAAACGCAACACGCTCGAATGCGTATGCTAATAGGCAGGCGTGCTGGGTAAAAGCGACAATTAGCGTGGATTGCGACAATGGGCCGATGTCATCAAAGAAACATTTGCGCCGAGAGAGCAGAATTATCACGATACGTGGCTCGGCACGCGGAGGACGAACCAAAATCGAGAGCATCGCGAGCCGAGGATCGCCAAGGAACGGCTGTTCGTCGCACAATTAACCTCATCGTGCGAGGGTAACGTTACAACAATTAAATCTTAGCTCGACGTGCTACGAGATTCGCCGGCAATTAAGTGAGAAATCAAGTTTCACGACTCTGTATATATTTTATAATTATTTATATAATTATACGTATATTGATTATATATATAATTATATATAAATTTTTAATTACAATTTTCTTAGCCTCACGGCTAAGTACACATTTTTAATTATTTATATGAATTATAGAGGGTGTCTGAGATGAACATGGACAAACTTAGTGAGGGCGTAGAACGGATTGAGATGAACTAAAAGTACATCATCCTATATCATTTTATTGTATGTAAATTTCTAATTATATAACTTTTTTATAATTCATACATTATATCGATGCGTCTTGATACCGAAGCGATCCTCAGTCTTTCGAATCCGTCTCGAGCAGGATCTACAGTTAGAGGGTGAGTCACAACGGATTTTGGCCACCCCGTGTATAATGTAATTGAACAAAAGTTCTGTTTTAATTAAAAAGAGAAGGGTCGGATAGTCGGACCGGAAGGACAATCGAGAACAGCCGGGGGAGCGACTGTTCAAGGCGGGGGGAAGACAGCGGAATTACTCCGTATTTCCGCGAGGATTAAACGTCCTAGCCCTTTTTGTTTTTGCTCAAATGTTCCGGATTTTCAGATCGCGGCAACGCGAGAGAGCTAACTCGAAAAATTCCACGGATTCTTGCACGGCAGGAAGAGAGCGCTCTCTCTCTCTTTCGCGCGCGCGCTCGTCCGTGAGCGCAAGTTTCACCGAGGGGGCTATTGCACAAGGCAGGGGGAGGAGAGGGGAGAACGCGAGGGCGGAAGTTACGTCACGTGCCGCGCGCCGACGACGGAATCTTTTCGGCAAACACAGAGCGCCGAAGG